AGTACGTGTTAAATTAATTTGACAGCTATAGTCCATAGCTCGTCGTTTTCATTGTGTTCGGGCTATTAATGTTGTGGCACAAAAGGGGTCCCTACAGTTTTATGTCGACTTTGAACGGCGATTTTTTTTTAATGGGAAGCTGTTTTTCATTTTCAAGTTTTGAGCACTTCTAATCATTACACCACAGCGGCCTATATACGAGACCTATATTCATATAAATTTTTTGTATTTTGGTATCGATATTTGGAATATCGAGTCTTTTTATTCCGATATTAATGGGTACCCGATATTTTTAAAGCGATACTTTAAATGAGTACCATATCGATACTTTCTGTTCGATATCGTGTCCCTAATTAAACAAGGTGAGATTGACAATTCAGGTAGGCTTTCTTTTAAGGTACTATTATGCCAAAAAATATAAACAATCGTTTCAAAATTCATACAAAATTTTTTCAATTTCACTTTATAGGATGGTTCTTCTGAGAGCAATGTCAAATTCAATCACACTTTGTTGAATACATTTTGAATGTGAGTAACTCAGATAAATTTTATGCATATGCTCAATTACTAAAAAATGTCTTCAGGTTTCAAAGAAACTTTAGACTTTCAAAGCAATCTGTTATATATATTTTAACATAAATAGAAAATAAATTGCGTGTACGAAAGAAAAAATCAGCCATACCAAATATTATAAAGCTTGAGATTTTGGCGCAAGGATCATATCAACAGAGTGTTGGTAATGAAGCATTACTTGGGTTAGCCCAGCCTACCGCTTCAATTGTGTTAACAGAAGCATTAAGTGCCTTACAAACAACTCTTTGCAATAAGTGGATAAACTCTAAGTATACAGAGGACGAAAATAGGAGAGTGAAAAATTACTTTTTTTGAAACGGAGTAATCGGATGCATTGACGGCACACAAGCCAAGATTGTGGCACCAGAGAAAAATTTGCAGCACCTGTAATACTGTCGGAAGGGGTATTTCAGTATAAACGCAATGATAGTAAGTGGACTAGTATGTGTACGTGCAAGTTAAATAAGATTTTTCTTCCCTTTTAGATGTGTGACGATTTGATGAATATCAAATACATTAATGCCAAGCACCCAGGGGCTACGCATGACTATGGTTTTTCAAATTTCCGGTTTAAAATCACAATTAGAGTCAATGTATAACCGTGGTTCAGATAACAATTAGTTATTAGGGATTAAAAATTCTTCGTCCATACAACTCAAACGTGTGAATTGTATTATTTTTATTTTTTAAAGTGATGCTGGCTATGCTTTAGCGCCTTATTTGCCTTACATAAATGCTGAACCAGGATCTATAGAAAGCTTATATAATAGCCGGCAGTCTAAAGCTAGAAACATTATTGAGAGGACTATTGGGGTGTTAAACAGCCGGTTTAGATGTTTGTTAAGTGCTCGCTCACTTCATTACACTCCTGCAAAAGCCACTTTAATAATAAATGTTTGTGCGGGACTCTACATAATATTTGCAACCATGATACAAAAATAGGAAGGTAGAACCGCTGAGAGGAATTTTTCAAATTCTTGACGTTTGCAAGCAATTTAATTTTGAAATTTTACACACAAACTCACACACACATTCTCATTTTCAATCTCAAACAACAACTTCGAACAATTCCTTTTTTTTACTCTCAATTTTATATGATTTTAAAATGTTGGCAAACTTCAAAAAAAAATCATGGCCGACGAATTGAGAGAACGGTTTTACCTTACTATGTTTTTATCATGTTTGCACCCATGACAATGTCCCCTATGAAGAAGTGAACATTGCAGACGTCCAGGACGGGAGTGTTAAAATCTTAGAAGAAGCTAATCCAAACCATGACAATGTCCCCTATGAAGAAGTGAACATTGCAGACGTCCAGGACGGGAGTGTTAAAATCGTAGAAGAAGCTAATCCAAATGATAACGTTCCTATGCGACAAGCTGCAGAAAAAATGTCTTGTCGCGCTGGCACTAATTTTTTCATATTTTTTTTTACATTTTTATTAAACATAAGCAAAGCATATTCATCGCTTCAGGTACAAATCATTTCCATTGTTTCATTAAATAAAAATAGCAAAAATAAAAATGAGTTCACTGCAGTCTTTGACATTTTCTCTTAAAATAATTGTACTTTTGATTACTTCCTATATATTTCTTGTTTCAGTTCAAGCAGTTTTTTCTTAAGTTCTAGTTTAGCTTTTCGAGCCATTCTTTTATTCTCGATATCCTGCTTGTAAAGAGATAGTTTATCCTTTTTTAAATAGTAAGATCTTTTTGTGTAAGTCTCAATATTTGAAAGGCTCTTTTTAATATCTTTGAAGGTATTAAGAGATTTATTTTGAAAATCAACCTGTTTGTTTGCTGCTCTAATAGTGCAATTTGGCGGTGTTCTTTGCGTCCAGTTCTATTTCTCTCATTGAGTATCCGGTTTCGCGAGGGCGTCTGGATATCATGGTCCTCTAAAATTTCGATTGCTCTACCGGACTCATTTTCATCTTGGTTTTCTTCTTCATTTTCTACTCCAAACTCTTCTCCTGGAGGGCTATTATATAGAGTGTAGTTCATCAATCTATTCACGGTCTGTTCCAGGTTGGAAAGTAAAACCGTGTTGTTTGGTCCACCTCCAGTCGCGATTTTCTCTGCATGGTTGTGTACGCTCTTTTTTTGTATTGTATTTTAAATCATTCCAAACCTGCAAGTTAATGTTTTGTTATTTCAGTACCAATGGCTAAATGGTTTGCTTACTTGTACAAGAGACAACATCGGGCCGTTTTTACCAGTGTTGTCATCGAAAATTCCCCGGATCCGAGTTAATTCCTAAAAATTTCGTGCATTTGTTCGGCTGCTTATGCGAATTTTAAAGAGGAAAACGCATGAGTCAAAGCAAATAAAGGCTGTTTATGCAAGTAATCGAGCCGTTTGTCAACCGTATAAGTTAGTTAAAGTCAGCAATCTACCAGACAAGTCAGTCAGTTGCGAATCAGCAAGCTATAAGCAAGTTGTGAAACAGAGATAAATTGTGTAAGCAAGTTTTGTAAAGCGTTGCAATTGCTTTAACGAGTATTGTAAAGTGTTGTTATTGCATTAGCAATTACTGTAAGTGTTTGTTGTATAATAAAGTTATTTGTACTGTAATTTGGTCATCGTGAGCGTTTATTTAACAATCCAGCGTTACGAACCTAGATATTTTTGGTAAATCTGTCAAGAAGTCAAGGATAATCGTAACAATATAGTAGATGATAATTTTTCATTCTTTGTACACTCGGTAAAATGCCTATAACTTTTATTTTAAATAATGATTTTGATATGCGGCTGTCACCATTATGCTTAGGACATATAGGTGCTTGAAAATAATATATACCGGCTCCAAAAAACTCATGGTCGGATTTTGTTTGAACTTGAAAATAGAATACCCAATTTTTTTAATTTTTCTTCTCAAAAATGTGGTATTGCGGGGCATAAGTATTTTTTGATGAAAAACCAACTATGTATCTCATCGTGGTATAGAAACCACATTGTTTTTTTTTTTGGAAAAAAAATGTTACATTAGTTATCGAAAAATCCTTTGATACGAAATTTCGAAATTGGTGAAAAATGAAAATTTCAAGCACCGGTAGCGACCTAATTAATTTAGAAATCCCTCGGGTTACTTAACTCTGGGTCAGTTTTCAATGCTGCAAGACATTGGACCTTATGAATAAAAACTTAGCAGTTGCTTTTTCTTAAAATTTCAGACCTTTTACTTAAATTTATTTGAAGAAATCGTGTAAAAGGTCTGAAATTTTAAGAAAAAGCAATTGCTTAGTTTTTATTCATAAGTCCCATTCTCTGGTTTAGGAATATAAAAATTTAACTCTGAGGTACTGAACTCTGTATTTATATATTTAACTCTGGATGTTCTACAAGTGGGCCTTACAGCCCTATTCTGTGCACTTGATAAATTAAAAATTTTTATAATTTTTCAATTTCTTATTATTTGTATCGAATTGGGCTAGAATCCCACAGAAATCAAAAGCTCTTTTCTTGATAAATTATCAAGATTGAAAATGCCATTGACAAGCGTGTACAAATTGAAATTTCATGTGAAAATTATAAATTTTGTATATTAAAAAATTTGTTTCTATAATTTAAATAGGCTGAGTTCCAAGTTGGTATATTGCAAAGCATCAGCCTATTTTATTTCTAAACTATAATTGATGGAAATTACCAATTTTCGCAACTAAGCTCCAATTCGGCATTTGAACATGGTTACGCATATTGGACATTTCCATCAGTTATAGTTTAGAAATAAAAGAGGCTGATGGTTTGCAATATATCAACTTGGAACTCAGCCTATTTAAATTATAGAAACAAATTTTTTAATATAAAGAATTTAGAATTTTCTCATGAATTTTCAATTTGTAATTGTGAACATACATATATCATTTGTAATAACAATTAACAAAGAAAATGTGAAAACGGCGATTTTAGTGAAAGTATTCGTGAATTTCAGTGCATTTAAAGTTTTGGAGGCGTCGTTTGCTTTTACACGAGAAATGTCAAAATCGGCAAAACCAAAGTAGCGGTTTGCGGAATGCGTCACCTTCTGTTCGCTACATCGTGGTTTAAAATCAGTCTCTCTCATGTTCAGCCTCATTGCGTAAGTCGTAAATTAGGATAAATAGTACGACTCGACAACATCGGCATTGTCGACTGTCGTGGTAAAATAAGTAAACGACAAAAATTGTAGAAAACTATGCAGTGCTGCCAAGATTTCTGTCGAATGTAAATTTTAGGCAATGACGTGAAATTTTCGATACGATTCGACTCTCGAAAAACGACTTGCATTCGACACGACTCTCGCAATAAGGCTGTTTCATTTACACTCTTACTTTACTATACTGTGCAAAGTAAAATCATTTAAGCGGCTCTCTAGTTCAAACCAATGTTACATAAATTCTTAAACATTAAAAGAGACTAAAAGGTTCTTTCTTTCTTTTGTTATTGCAGATATAGTCAACATGGATCTTAAGTCGACCTTACGTGTTTTGTACAACTTATTTACGACATACAGGAGCGTGGCCTAACGAAACAATCTTTTCAAATAAATTGGAGGAGTGCGCTTATAAATATCGTCGATGTTTTTGCAAAACCCTCCATCGGCGAGTTTCAAAACCGCCTGGATCGTCATTGTGGCAAAAATAAGATTTGGTAACCCTGAATTCCAGGCCTCCATTTATGCATAAAAATCTTATAATCGTTATTAAAACAACAGATTTGTAAAATAATAGCTAGAGAAAATACCGCCTATCAAGGCAATGCCCTCAAAGTAAACCCGTTTGTTCGCTCTCTAAAGTTTGAGTGCCGGAAGATATGCGGTTTTGCAAAAACATCGGCGTTATGTATATTTTTTATGTCCTAAAATAAATATATTTGTGTATCAGAACGAAGGCTAACACATACATTTGTACCTACAATAAAATATGTATTACAATTCAACATTGAAGAACTAACATAACGAAAACACTGCACAATTGCAATTCTTAAGCCACTATTTTAATGCCTTCCCTGTTATATCGATTTTTGTAGCAAGTAGCAAAAACTTAAGTTATCTATGTATACAAAGCTATACCATATGAAACATGTTTTGTTATTTCTTTGAATGATTAACAAATGTTATCATAATTTTGGTTCATATTATTTTAATCTAGGTATGTATGTATTTGTTCTTACCTTTAAATTGAGGTAATTATGTCAAATATAACGAAATTTTTAATTGGATATGTATTTAAAATTATTCGTTCATAATTTGTTTACTAAACTTATAAAATAACATGCAGACATATCAGTGTCAATAAAGATTAACAAAAAAGACTACTACAATGGACTATCTATGCATATAATACGCGAAGGGATTTTTTGTCCATGTCATCAGATCCGAACTGCTCGTTCGATTTTCAAAAATAAGGTGTGAAATGAAAGGGCTTGGCCTGTAAATGTGCAATAAGGTTTTACTTTTTCGAAAACCGTTTCAGCTTTCATTTCATTTTATTGATATAAAAAAAATAAAATTAGTAACTTAATATTTAAATCATTTTTAGTACAAGGTAACAAATAATAAAAATTAACATCGATACAAACTCAAAGATTAGGGAAAAAATAAAAAAATAAATGGAAAACAAAACTTACAAGTATACACACATATGTAGACAGACTTAAAACTTGTTTAAAACTAATGCTTAATAATAAGTACATAAATTACTTTACATATGTCAGCGAGAGGGAGTAGCGTGTGAACTGCCTAGTACAGACGTATTTTCATTCATTCATTTGAGTTTCATCATTCATATTAACACTTAAAAGACATTTGTCTAAATTCATTGTAAATGTATCAACAACTTTAATTTGCTCTTATTATAAATAAATACACACAAGTCATCCGTGACAGCGTCAGATTGGGAGTGGAATTTTGGCCTACAATTCGGAACGGGATAGATTGCACAAGGCGCACACACATATATACACATATAAAGATAAGCTGGCAGCGATAAACGCAAAAGGACAAGCAGATTGATAGGCATTCTCACATAAAAAAAATAACGGGCGATATACGCAAAAGGACGAGCACAAAGAGTGATAGACATTCACACAGAAAAGGATAACGAGCGATAGACGCAAACGAACGAACGAGTGATAGACACTCATAAAAAAAAAGCGTGGGGCAAGAATACGGAGAATTGCTGCACGAACCGGCACCGAAAGAGTAAAGGAGAATAGCGTTAGCGGCGACAAGAAAGAAAAGCAGCGCGGAATAGAGAAAAATAAATTAAATCGATAGCGAGTGGGTTTTTTTCATTTTTAACGGCAGAGTGCCGCTGACGCAATCGGAGAAAAAAAGTCAACGACGATAGACGCGTGGAAAACCTGGAATCAGGAATTGGAGTTAAAATGGTTAAACTGAATGAATTATAAGTGGAACAATTGAATGTTCTACTGGAAAAGCACAATTTGTCGAGGTGCAAGATGACGAAGTGGAAGTTGAAGAGGTTCCAGCCTTGCAAAAGCAAGTCGATGGATCCGTGAAATGATCGCCAATATGTCAGCACGGTTCAGAGGCAGATGTGACGAGGGCTTCGCCTGCAACGGCAGGTGCATCAGAGGGAAGATGCTACAATCCAAGCGAATAGGGCAGAAGTTGCAACAACACCTCGGTATATGGTGGGGGCCGGACCACCAACAATGTCAACAGTAGTCAAACACACGATGACGGACATTATCGGAATGCTACTGGATTTCGACCCACTTAAGGGCCATATATCAACACATCAATTCTTGGACAGAGTGGAGCAGCTTCGGTCAATTTATGGGTGGTCGGAAGAAGTATTGCTATTTGCAGTTCACCACAAACTTAAAGGGGTGGCACGCCAGTGGGCTGAATGTCAACCGGTGTTCAGGTCGTGGCAACAGTTTGTCGCTACCTTGAGGTATGATTTTGTAACAACTGTAAATATGGCGGACTACTAACTACGTTATGCTAAATCTAGGTCAGAAAGTCAACATGGATGAAGCATCAATTAACTCGTTATTGGGGTTTAAATGATGCCAGCTTATCTCGAACATTGTTGGCGATGAATTTGCTCTCGTGCGACGAGTTGTTAAGGTCGATCGAAAATTTGTCGATAGCGAACACGTACAACAAAGTCAGTACAGTAGCCAAGGGGAACGTAAAGGAAGGTGAAGTGGAGAAGAATCCGTACAACGAGCGCAAGGGCTTTAGGTGCTTCAACTGTAATAATGTTGGACATATTGCAGCAAAATTTCCACAACCACAGCGCAAGGCCAAATGTAGTAGTTGTAACAAATATCGGCATGAGGCGAAGGATTGTCGAAGTGGAAAGAAAACAGTGGGTAAGGTTACCGAGGAAACAGCATTGGTACCTCCACCTGTGATGCGTCAGATATGTATAGAGCGGGTCGTACCCACTCAGCGTTTGTAGACACGGGTAGCAACTCATCACTGGTATCCGACATGGCAGTGCCAGAAGGTATCTGTTGAGGATTCAATAAAGGACACACGTGGCACTTGCTTAGAATTAAGTCTTTATTAGTTGACAGTACAATGTGCAGTAATTCATGGTTTGTACATATGTATATATCCAATGATAGAGATGACAGTAATAACAAGTATACAGACATATTACAGAGAGTTGCCAGCTATAGATAATTACAACTGTCACAGTATCCCTAGACAACCAAGCGAGGAACATGTCTGAAGTTTTAGGGGTGCAGCGGTAGAAGTTCACGAGATGGTAGAAGTCGAATTTGTAATGGATGGACGAAATATTAATGGGTCGATTATCGATAGCAATCGAACTTCAGTTGCGTTGATAGTTGCCAAAACGATATTATGGCAACTGGCAACTTTCAACTGACAACTGCAGTTGCTACAAAGTGTATATACAGGCGACTACATTTTTGTGGTGGCTGGGAATGTTTTTGGAGCGTATTTAGGAGCGAAAATTGAAGAGTGTGTCATATATTTTACTTTTTAATAATCTGAACGGTATTAACTTTTTGCTATGCAGTTTGCTGTTACAGAATTTGGCGAAAATAACAAAACAATAACTTGAAATTTGAGTTCCTGTGGAGTACGCCCTTTTGGCGAAACAAAAGCGAACACTGGTTGCAAATTTTTTCCTTTATCAACTGAAGCACCTCGAAGCAAATCGAAGAGGTGCGCAAGCTTTTATGAGCAGAGGTATTGAAGTTGAACGAAGTGGTTCATCTGTTTATTAACCAATTATACTACAGCTTCTTTTGGAAGTCCTCAATATGCTTTGAAAATGAACACAAAACTATAATAAAACAAAAACCTTGAACGCTTAACTTTTGCTTACAGTGCACACGGTAGCTCTAGAGGATTGGTATTATCCTCTAAATGTCGCCTGATTGAGGCCGCGTTTATGCACTTCTATTCCTCTTAAACAAATAATTGTGATGAACTTAGCCTTTATTGCTGTCTTTTCTTTAAAACTCTTTATTTTAATAATTTAATTTTACTCGCACAGCTTGTTTACAGCCGCTTGCTGGTTGTCGAACTGTCAAATTTTGATTATCGATAACTCTACAGCAACTGATGATAGTTGCTATTCGTAATACAAATTTTTTTCCAGTTGCGTTGCCAGCTGGCAACCAATCCGTGGTTGCGTTGCTATCCGTAATCGACCCATTAATCACAACTTCAGGTAGTGCCTGACAAAGATCGCGATGCTAGTAGAACGGGGTGTTCATTGGGTGGAAGTGTTCTTATTGCCGTCCAGCATTCGTTATACGCATTTCAAATAGAACTCTCTAATGAGGACCCTATTCTCGAGCAATTGTGTTCGTGTCAAAAGTTCTTTTGGTTTTGGTGTTGAAATCTATAAAGCGCATACGGACAATATTCAGGGCTGTCATGGAAACCAAGTCGGTTTTGCTTTTTGTCGGAATTACAAACCAATATTGGTTTCATTTGGTGTCATGAAACCGGATTGGTTTTGCTCTTTTCGAACATAGACAAAACCGATGTTCGAATCAGCTGTTTTGCTCATTTGTGTGCATGGCGGCAATTTGAATGTACATTTTTTTGACACAATTTTTTAAAATTGAATTGTTTTCATTAATTTAAATAAAAGTAAGTGAACGCAAAATGACATCCGCAGTTATCGCATTTCTGTTCTTGGAAGAAGAAAGTTCCGAGAAGGTTAAAAGAAAAATTTTGAGAGATTGCGGCGATCCACTTGAGCTGCCCGAGACAGCGTAAGTAGATTGTTTTTTAATATGCGTTTATAAATATTTACAGCGTATTTGCAGTTTCATAGCATATTATCGCCTAAACAAAGAGGTACTTGACACCATTGAAGGGCACTTGACACGTTCGAAAGTTCCACCAGTGCTGCAGTTAGCAGCTTCGTTGCGATTTTTAGCAGAAGGATCCTGTCAAAGATCAGTTGGGAACGATTCTAGCATAAGTGTAGCTAGGAGCGCGGTGTCAACGATTTTAGATGATGTGCTTAAGGTAATGGAGCGGTTCATTTGCCCTCAGTGGGTGAAACTAGAAATGGACTGCATCGAAAAGCGCATATCAAGAGACTATTTTTACTTAAAGTACAAAATTCCCTCAATAATTGGTTGCATCGACGGGACACACATAAAAATCATTAAGCCCAGTATTGACGAACATTTATTTTATAATCGAAAATAATTCAGTATGAATGCCCTGATTGTAAGTAATCATGAATCTTCATTTTACTCGTACATTGCCTTGATTTATATATATGCATGTACATTTTTATTTAGATGTGTGATGGTGACATAAAATTCAAGCCGTCGATGCACTCTATCCCGGCTCTAGCCATGACTCATTCGTATGGAACGTTAGTAGCGCCAGACATTTTTGGAAAGCATAAAAAGTGATGAATAAAAATATGAATACATTAACAAATATTTTTATAAAATAAACATTCTTTTACTCACATTTTTATAAAATATCCAACTGGAAGTAAGGAAAACTAATAAACAAATGAAATCCAACAGCCGTTAGCTGCTTGGTTTGTTTCCGATACCAAAATCGATATTATTGGTTTCTGTGACACCTAAAATCGACACTAATTCCGATTCGAACATAAAACCGATAACATTGGATTTCATGACACCAAAGTAATTTTTTTGTCGTTTTTAAATCCAATTCCGACAACAATTGTCTCCCTTGCTCAAAATAAAGTTAATGATAATCATCTCTGCGTGTTTGGCGATTTTAATCTTCCGAACATTATATGGTCAAAACATTTTTCCAACTTTGGGCTAATTCCAACTAATATGTATTACAACTTCCCTTGAATCATATTTCATTGATAATCTCTTAAGTTTAGATTTAGTTCAAATTAATTATTTTGAAAACAAACTTAATAGAATTCTTAATCTCATTTTCGTTACTGGCCACTTTGATTCTACTATCTCTCAATGTCCTTTTCCCTTCTCTCCTGCTGATAAAAATCATGTTTCAATGCTGCTTAGAGTAGAATTTTATGCATTTTCCGTCAGCAAACCGGCCAACAGAATCGCCTTTAATTACTCTTCCTGTGACTTCTCTAGGCTTAATGATCTGTTATGTGCTATTAATTGGGATGACATGCTTTCGGGCTTAAATGTCACTGACTGCTTTAATGAATTTAAATCGACACTGTTGGATATATGTTTCTCTAATATTCACCAATTAAAAAAGCGGTGCTATAAGTTCCCATGGTATACACCTAAATTAAATAAACTTAAAAATCTGCGTAACAAATTCTACAAAAAGTATATAAAAACTAAGAACCAAGAATTCTGCATCAAATATCAGTGTTATTTAAAAGAATTTAATTGCCTAAACAAATTTCTTTATCGTAATTACATACATAATGTTGAGAATAATATTAAATCGAGTCCTAAGACTTTTTGGCAATTCATCAAATCCAACAAGTCCTGTGCGAATGTACCAGCTGTCGTGTGTTTGGATGATAAAGTGGCGAGCTCTCCGTGTGAGGTTGCCAATTTATTTGCCGAGTTTTTCCAATCTAACTTTGTCCGAGACAATATAGACTCCTATAATCTTCCCGAATGTAATCAGTTTTCTTCTCTAAATTTTGGTAATTTGAATCTCTCCTCTGACCTATCAGAAGGAATTTTAGCTTTGAAGCCCTCATCTCAGACAGACGTAATTTTATACAAAAAATGTCCCGCTATAGTCACTCCACTAAAAATAATTTTTAATAAGTCTAGCAGCCGGCTTCTTCGTTGATGATTGGAAATTGACTACAGTAACACTAATCTTTAAAAGTGGCAAAAAGAATGATGTACGAAACTATATACCAATTTCCAAGCTGTCGACTACTTCCAAATTATTCGAAGCTATCGTTAAAGAGGAAGTATACTTTGCTACGAAAAGTTTAATTTCTTCCAACCAACATGGTTTTGTATCAGGCAGGTCCACGGTCTCCAACCTGGCCGTTTTCAGCGAATATTGCATTGAATCATTTTCGTCCGGACTTCAAGTAGATTGCATCTACACAGATTTCTCCAAAGCTTTTGACACGGTGCCACATAGAATTCTCTTACGTAAATTGGGCTCTTTTGGTTTTCACTCGATTTTCCTTCAATGGTTGGAATCATATCTAAGTGAAAGGCGTTGTCTGGTTACGATTGGGGGCGAATCGTGTGTTCTAGGTCCTCTACTTTTCGTCCTATTTATAAATGATATAAGCAGTTGCTTTTCATTTGCTAATCACTTATTATACGCAGATGACTTGAAAATTTTTGCCGCAATAAGAAATTTAAACGATGTAGCTAGGCTTCAGGCTGATATTAATGAGTTTCTGTTGCAACGCATAAACTTTCTTATTCCGACAAGAGCTTTACGAAGCTCTTACCCTTTTTACCTTAAGATTTTCAAAACCAATTATGAATCCAATGCACCAATTGCACGGGCGCTTCGCGAATTAAATGAGATCTCGAATTCCATTTCGTTTGATTTTTCAATTTCTAAGAATCAGTTGACTCTTCTGTTGAATTCATCTTTTTAACTCTCATACATTTAATAAACCAATGTAGCAATTTTTATTTTAGTCATAATTTATCTTCGAACTAATTTTGAATGATTTGTATTAGCACTAAGTGAGTAGTCAGTAAGAACCATTGTGTTTTTTGACTAATTAAATAAATAAATAGATTCATGCCGAATGAGCTACTGTTAGGTAGAGACGTGTTACGTCGCGACGATACGAAGGTGATAATGGAGTCAGGAGTTTTGAAGGTGCAAGAAGTGAACTCTGAAACGATCATCGATAAATGTTAACCGAAAGTGACGAGAAAGAACTCCAGCAGTTATTGAGGAAATAGGACCATGGCTTCTCGGAGGATTTGTCAGCGCTAGGCCGGTGCGAAACCATGGAGATGGAGATTAAAGTTACTACCGATAAGCCAGTCATTGGGAAACGTTATCAAGTTCCGTTCTCCCCAAGGGAAGTTTTAAGAACCATCACCGATAGCTTACTCGAACACGATATTATACGACCGAGATCATCGCCGCACGCAGCACCAGTGGTACTTGTTAAGAAGGCGAACGTGGAGCAGAGAATGTGCGTGGATTACAGAGCACTGAGCGCAGTAACCGTCAAGAAACAATTTCCGATGCCAGTCGTAGAGGAACAGTTGGCGAGGTTGGGTGACAACAGGTTCTTCACAACGCTCGATATGACGGCAGGTTATTACCAAATTCCCTTGATAGAGGAACCGGACGGGTTATACGAGCACAACGTCATGCCATTTGGACTGGTCAATGCTCCAATAGAACTTCAACAGATGGTGGTTCAGGGATTTGGAGCGATGCAACCGGATCATCAGTTATGTAGATGAGGTCCTCATCGCCACGCCAACAGTAAAGGAAGGTGTCCAGGTATTGGAGGAATTTTTGAAGCCGGTCCAGCAGGCAGGGCTGACTTTGCGTCCATCGAAGTGTGTATTCATGGCAACTACTGTTAACTTCTTGGGACATATAATTAACGAAGAGGGTATCAAACCAAACAGCAGAAAGGTTAATAGCGTTAAGGAGTCTGTGACACACGTTCGCCAGTTCTTAGGACTGACCGGGTTTTTCCGGAAATTTATCAACAACTACAGCAGTATTGCGTTGCCTCTAACACAGTTGCTGAAGAAAGGGCAAGATTTCCAGCGGGGACCGGAGCAGGACGCAGCATTCAGTAGACAGAAAGAAGCTTTAATCAGCGCACCTGTACTTGTAATGTACGACGCCACAAGGGTTCACGAGGTGCACACAGATGCTAGTTCATATGGGCTGTCTGGGGTTTTATTTCAGCTGGAGGAGAATGGTTTGAAGCCGGTACATTACTATAGTCGCCAATGCAGCGCAGAGGTCCGGTAGAAGAGGCAACCGAGCCGCATACTATCGCAGAGATGGTAATGCAGGTTAGCAACGTAACAGAGAATTCGGATTGGATTTATATCATGCAAATGCAACGCCCAAAACTGCAGTCGACAATCCAAATTCTAAAGAGTGACAATCAAGCCGAAGATTCGGTCAAGATGCAACTAAAAGATGACTACGCAGAGGAGAAGGGTAGACCAATGCGTAAAGTACATGGGCAGTCCATGTTAGGCGTTCCGCATGTAGCACGATGGCGTATAGTTAAAGCGTGTCATGACGATGCCGGTCATTTTGCGCTAGAGAAGACTATTCAGAAGATTAGCAAAGCGTTTTGGTTTCCACAGATCCGCCGGTATGTTAAATGATACATTGCATGATGTGAGGACAGCTGCCTGAATAAAGCCATAGATGGAAAGTCTGAAAGCCAGCTTCACGTAATGGAGGTCTTACCTATTTCATTCAGGAGGTTGTACATCGATCACCTGGGCCCTTTTAGCAGGAGTAAGAGGGGCAATTGTTATGTGCTAGTCGTCGTATGTGGTTTCACGTAGTACTCCATATTGACAGCCTTAAGGAATACCTAAACAGAACCAGTGGTCAATACTTTGGAGGAGGTCATGGTTGTCTTTGGTCAACTACTCCGAATAACATCAGATAGAGAGACCGCCTTCACGTCTCGGCAGTTCCAGGCGTTTATTAACGGCTATGGAATACAACATGTTAAGACAGCGGTGCGTACACCAAGGGCCATATTGTTTGCGATGCAAAGTGAAGGACGCCAAGCACTGGGATTCAGCGTTGCCCATGATACAGGGGAACCTTAATTCGCAGCAACATCAGATGACCAAGTTCAGTTCAAACGAACTGGTCTTCAGCTTGTAACCCAGAATCGGATGATCTAGGTGCTCCATGATGGAGTTAATGTCAATGCAGATTCCGAGAGTAACTGGGAAGAACCCGTAAAAATATTTTAGCAGAGAAGCAGAAGTGGAAGCAAAGATATGACAGGAAACATCGGAAGCCTCACAACTATCAGGTGGGAGATTTGGTCGTCATCGATCATGTCCCAGTAGCAACTGGTGACTCCCACAAACTAGATCCAGCTTTCAAAGGTCCGTACGTGGTTACAAAGGTGCTGCACTACGACCGTTATATCGTGGAGGATTTGACAGATGCCACCGTTTCCAGGCGGCGTTACAGTGGTGTTATAAGCACCGACCATATGAAACCATGGTGCACGCTAGCGCCAGGGTTGGATGTCGAGGACGACATCGAGGCAGATGTCGAATCGCCCTGGAATGACGATATGTTAGGACCGGCCGAATCGTCAACGAGAGGAAGTAGCGTGTGAGCTGCCGCCGAGTGCGGATGTATTAGCGAGTGAGCGGACGGCTCTAAATAGTTTCATCATGCATATTAACATTTAAAAAGGCATTTGTCTAAAATCATTGTAAATGTATCAACAACTTTAATTTGCTTTTATTATAATAAAGACACACAAGTCATCCGTGACATATAGATGGCCAGTTCATGGTTTCGCGGAAAAATATTTATATAGAACACATTTGCAACCTGTTAAAAAATTTAATTCAAGTTATTTAATAACCAATGCCATTAGATCCGCACCGTTCGTTCGATTTTCAAAAATTAGATGTCAAATTCAATGCAGATGTTTGATAAGGTTTTGCTTTTTCGAAAAGGGTTGCCAACGTTTGAAAAATTTAATTCAAGTTTTAGTATACGTATACTACCCTGCCTGCCTTTACTTCATACACTTCCCACTTTTTGTTCATACAATCTTGAAGCAGAAATATTTCAAAGTGTATGAACTAAAGGTGGGCCGGGTAGCATATATAAACATGTTAACAACTAAAATAACAATATTAAACAAAAACGCAAATATGTACTATTTTGTATTTTTATATACATATTACCAATTAAAAGGATCTGTCAACACTGTAAATTGTAGTCCACAGCTTACTGTCTACTATGTATCTTAACGTCCACAACTTTTTCAATTCATGTTCCACATTCGCTGATCTTTCGCATATAAAGCGCGTGCTCCTCTGGGAGTTCGTCTCAAATGAGACTCATTTGGCGTCCGCTCAAGAGGTAAGCTTAACTAAGTAGTTGTAGGTCGTATTTCTATTTGGAAGATGAACATCGCAAAGCTGGTCTCTTTTGATAGTAATATGTAGCTTATATGTATGTTGCTGTTTTACTACAAATACTTAGATGAACAGCGCAAGCATTGAATCCCAATAAATGGCAACGTTCACAAATGAACATTTTGAGAGGCTGATGAAAGCGGTGGGTCAAGTCAAGGAAAGGCCTGGCTCGTTTAGCCGCTGCACTGCTCGTTATACCGGTTGCATTGCTCGTTATACCGGTGAACGCTGCTCCGAAAAAAGTTT